CCTGCTGACTGCAGAGCCACTTGGCTTGTTCATCAGGGCTAGATGCAATCTGCTAACTAACACATGAAGAGATTGATCTAGTGGGAATCTTCAGGAAAACAACAGATTTCACCTAAAGAGACAAGGTAAATAGAACACAGAGACACTATCTAGAGGAAAAATTGCCTCAATGATTCTTCAAGACTCACCCCAGAAGACTGTTGATTCTGTGATAGCGCCAAACGAGCATGGCCTCTCCGAATCCTGCGTTCCACCTCTGCAAGTAAGCTCTGTAAGTAGCGTAAGAAGTCTCTTTCATAGCCCACTTTCATGAAACGAGAGCTCTTCTCATACCTGGAAAATATTTTAAGAATTAAAGCTCATATCAATTCATAATATACGAAAAAATAAACAACAAACCTGCAATGTTACATTCTTGCTCAAGGTAAAAAATAATATGTATTTCATAACAAATTTCAAGCATTCTAGAAACACCATTTGCATTTAAACATCATTCAACATACTTACTGTTTACGTAGATTTTCATCATGAATTTTTTCACAAGGACCTAAAAGGACCACACAAAAAGTTTAAGCTTGCATTCTTGAATGTTGCTTTCACATTACATCAGCATTTGTTTGTGCACCACGACAGAACAGAACTATAAACACCTCTCACGGACTTTCATGCCTGCCTTTCTGCTTCCTTTGCTTGGAGTTTGAAAGACACATTAAACAAAAAGAATGCCAATATGGTTTAGTAATCATAACATCAAAGGAGATTTCAAATGACACACAAGTCTTGACATAATATAGATTTTCCAGATCAAGTTCTGTAATAAACTGGCTACTTGAAACACTCATCTTTAGAGTAAAATTAGGAGGCACGTGGCCTGAGTTCATTAAGGCAATCATGTTAGAATTCCTCACTTTCCCTAACCTATCAAACTTGTCAGGGACTTGGAAATTAAGATGAAGCAGCCTGTTTTTCCTAGTTACCATCTCCAAACTAAACTGTCCACATACCATCGCCTGAAAACTACTAGTAATATAGCCATGGCCTTCATTAATAACTATTACTGTAAAAGAGAAGCTCACTAACGTATGCCCACACAAAAATAAGTTAAAACCCTGCTCAGGTAGAATAAATCAAATTAGAAGCCAGCACTTCAGGAGGAGAAAACCACTCCACGCCCAATAATTTAGCTTACACTCTGAGGACAAAAATAAAAACTAAACCAAAAAAGCTTTTTCACTTAGAGGAAGTAGGATCTGAAACAAATACTGGTCTCAACATGCTATATCACTGATAATGCTTTAAAAATAAAGTCTATTTACAAAGTGTTTTGACAGAGCATTAATCAATAAAAATATAGTCTGCAAACAGAAGTTCAATTGTAATTAGTTGTAAGGACATACAAATTACAAAAGTTACAGACTTACCTAAGTCAGAACGGGTATTTGTAAATAATTCAGCTGGGCAAAAGCCACAAAGGTAGTATTTACAAACCTGATAGAGAAGAAAGAACAGGCATCATTATTTCATCATGATTTGGCAATTCTGGGAATCACTTGTTTTCTAAAATAGTGTTAAAATTCCCTTTGTAGACTACTACATTTCTGAAAATTTTACACATGTACACCCCCTATCTCTGTGTTGGTTGGTATCAATAAGTGCTACAAGGTGCATCTTCACGACAAAACGCCAAAAATCCTACTTTCCACTGTAATAATGGCATCACTTAATTTTACTGCTCAATGTTCAAGTTAACTGGAAAGCGTCACCTATTTGTAAATACAATATCTTATCTAGTATTTCCAGAGGAATAAAGTAAAACCAGACTTAAAAACGTTACAGAGAAATTCCTTAGCCATGAAAACCTACAAGGGAACCTCTAAGAGAACATCTGCCAGGAAGCCTGAAAGCGAGTTCCTCTCAGCTTGCCTGCCAGAGCCTGCTCGGAGCCCGGCCTCCCGCTGCTGGCCTGGAGAGCAGGAGCCGGCAGCAGTCAGACACCCGGCAACTGCCCCAAGGCGTCTCAAGGATTCTGATGTGCATTAAATGACTTAAGAACACATAAGATAATTAGCCAAAAGCTTCCCCATTCCACTGCCTTTTAAAATCTCTACTTAAGAATGATATGCAAAGAAACGCTGTATAAAGGCAGCCAGAGAAGATATTCATGCCAACTAAAAAAGGGAGTTTTTTTCTACACAGTCTATTTTTACGTTAGCAAGTCAAGTTCTTGTTGAGAACAGGAAAAAAACCCAAAAACCAAATCCACAAACTAAACACCAGGAAGTAAGGAAAAAAACAACCTGCTAGTTTAGTCAGTAAATACTTAACATATGATGGGATAAAACCAGCTTTTGTTAAAAAGATTATTCACCCTCATCCATGAGCACGGGCTTAGCGCTACTCCAGTTGGTCAGTTCTTGAAGTCATAACACAGAAATATCTCCTGTCTATCCATCCAAACGGCCAAAAAGATAAAATCAAAAATATTTTCACCCCATACTTCATAAACAATCTTAAATAATTAATTCTTCAACAGACCCTTCCTCTAGATGCGATATGATTGCCAGTAACTTAAGTGCCAATCCAAAACTACCCTGAACATTCTTGTAACATCCCTTTTATATCAATTTCTAATATTTCACAAATATAATAATTAGTACTGCCTATTACCACTTAGTTCTAATACATCTGACATATAGGGTGGACAAGGATTTGCAATGCATTATTTCTTAAGACACATTTTGAATTATTTTAACAAATGGGGGCAAGGAGAGAGACTCAAAACGTACCCCACACCGACACCTCACTGAAAGGCCTGTGAAACAGCTGATCAAATTAGATCAGTCCAATTTATTTCTCCATGCTAACATCCCGACTGCAAATCAGACTAGAGAAGTCCAAACGGTACTGACTGCTTTAAAGATTGCACAGAAAAACAACCAAGCTTTCTACTGTGAAGCCATGGACACAAAAAACAACCAAAATCTCTTTTACAATATAATTTGAATATCTCTCCCATTACTCCAGTTAGGAGATCATGGCACATATCTGAAGCGATTTATCAAGAACAGTTAAGAAAATACCACCAAAAAAAAGTTACTGACCAAAATCTAGTTTCAGAAAGTGCTCTCTTCTCTGAAAGAAACAATATCCCTTGTTTCAATATGAAAGTGTTTCGAGGGAGAAGTTTCTGGGATTAACTCCTGAACTAGTCTATAAAAATATAATTTCTCTCTACATTCTCTCTCTCCTCATTTTCTCATCCTGACATCCAAGTATTAAGGTCAGTGAAAACACATTTCCCCCAAAAAATTTCAGGGATTAATCAGACAATTTCCCAAGACACGGAAAGAACAATAACAGTCTGGCCATATTATGTGCAAAAAAGGTTGTAGAATGTCTTCCATCAGCTCAGAAAATACGCAAACAAGCCTGTAACAGTTTTAAAACAAGTAGCAACAAAACAGGCAAAGGAAAATTATTAGAGGCAGAAGTATGACAAAAAAAACCCAAACTGAATAAACCAGTAACAGAAATATTTAAAATTATTTCATGAAGCTGCACTGCTAGGAAAAGCCCCCTCTTACAAGCAAAAATTATAGTAACCAATACTAAAACACCCAGCTTAAACATGTGTCACACACTGTATTAACATATTTAAACCAACAACAACAAACCCCACACACAGACAGAAAAGCTGCAGTAATTTTCTCCTGACTAGCTCTGGATGCTACAGTACCAGTGAATTACTTGACATTCTCCCCTAAGCAGCAGCCTGCAGAGAAATACTCACATTAGAGTGGTTCAGACTAGTGTGTCTGCAGCAATTTTCTCCCTCTCTCATACTTATTTCATTGTGCTCTTCACCTGATTTTGCTTCAACAGGAAAACAGCACTTCAGAGAATCTTGCAGAATCCTGAAAGGTATCATTCTGGCTTGGCTTCACCATGTGGAACATCTGCCTTGACAGGCTGCAGATGCCAGTCAGCTGCTCTTACGGTCGGCCTTAAGTAATTAATGAGTAAGAATAGTAAGGGGCAAGAAATGGCAGAAGCATCCCAGAGCCATTAAAGGACTGAGACAGAGGGGATATGCTTCAAATGGCATTCCTCACCCATGGCTTATCAGACCACTCCGCTTACCACGAGTCAGAAGTAACGGGGAAATTCACTCTGTGCCTGCAGAAACAGAGCAACGGGCAGTTCAGGTAATGAGCCCTTACTCCCTTCTGCTAAACTGTACTGATGACTCTACTGTCAAAAAGATGTAACGGAGAGGAATGTTACTGTGAAACTATTGCAGCAGGATTAGCCATAACGTCTCAAAGCCCTTAGGGTCTACATTTTGATAAGACACTAGAACAAATACGGACAGACACTTAGGACTTTCTACTTTTTCATCTCCAATTTACTACTCCTTGAAATCTTAGAGGTGGAAAAGTATTATCCTTCACCTCACAGCCGACAGCAAGAACGGCTGGCTCTTCCAGAGCCTGTGAACCAGTTCAGAGTTCTCCTACACAAAGGAACTAGTGACAGCTCTGTATCATTAACACTTCTACATTAAACCTGTCCCTCTTCCGCAAGACATTATTTACCGATGAAGAAGTATCAGTATAACCGTAATAAACAAATTACGCAAGCAAATTCCTTTAGGCAGGCAATTCCTACTAAAAAGGCTCAGAATAAAATCTGGCAGGCTGTGGCTTACTCACTAAAAACTAGAAAATTCCTTCATAAAAATCAGTTCTTTGAAATCATTAACATTTGCCATTAACTCATCATTTTATGTGCAATGCCCACCCACCCAAAACCAAACCAAACCAAAGTCCTTCTGCCAAATCGCACTCTGAAGAGATAGCCTTCCATTTCTAATATTCCTCCAAAACAAGTAATGCTTAAGTCTTCCCCTCCTCACCCCCTGGAGAATTAAGTTCCACAGTCCTACCTAGATGCAAACCAATTTAGGTCTTTGGCATTAAAAAAAATACAAGTGTAACACGTTATGAGCAGCTAACACCATCAAATCATACTTTAAATAGAGAACCTACATTTTGCGAGACTGCATTCCTATCAGAGATAACGTTCACAGTCGTTCGGCCGTAATCGCTCTCCACCTCTCCCTACTTTCTGGAAACACTGAGTTTTCTTTGAAGGAAACATCACGTTCTCAAAGCCTTATACAAAGCTGGGGAAGTCCATGCTGGGTTTTCTTGTGCTTCAGCACAGCCTCAAAACTCTTACACAACTGCTGCTTCCACATCAACTTGTTTTGTGCAGGTGACACATTAAAGCAAGAATGCACGAATCAATAAAGTTACCGTTCCAGAAATACACTTTGTCTGCAGATATGACAGTAAGCAGTAAGACTAAAATATATGATCTTAATAATTTCCTCCTGTACACAAAACTAGAATTCATCATCTAAGGATGTGCCGCAATGCTGAAATACACAGCAACAGGGATTTTGAGTTTTCAAGATTAAAGGCTTTAATCATGTCAAAGTGTTAAAAGTAAGAACTTAAGAACAAAAGGCTTCACAACGGAACAAATGCTCAGCTATCATGCGCTCTGCTTTGACACCTTCAAAACAACCACTCCTACCTGGCATTTCATCGCACCCTCCATACAGTTTTTGATACCCACCTAGATGCAATTTTAGAGTCAAGCTTGTTTTGATAACCTTCCATATCTAAAACTGACAAAACGTGACATAAAATCTTTAACTTTGGAATGAAAGGGCTATACTGGAAAAGGCTACATGTTGATCTATGCCTAATTTTACAAGAAATTACATTAGTGTATGTATTTCATCTGAAAAGCGAAAAGCAGTCAAGTAGATGAATTAATGTTACTATATGAAGCTTATCTGCATTTCCCGTCTTTGAAAAAGTGTCAGCATTGCAAATTTAATCTTTAGGCGATGCTGGAAGACACACTGAAGCACATGTTTTAACAGAAGTAATTTTTTTTTTAATGAACTCATCAGCTGACTATAGGAATCTCCGAAGACATTCCTTTCAGAGAGGTTGTATTCAGTTATGGTCCTATAAACTTCATAAACAGAAGCAGGAACAGAGCAAGCAGCTGCAGCTTGCGCACGACTAAGTGCCTGTGAATTTCCCTTAGACACAGGACAGCTCTCTGCTTCCTGAACTCTCAAAAACACTGGGGGGAAGAAGAGACAAGGCCCCATTTCTGAAACAACAAAACTGAACAACAGCTTAGAGACATTCCTACGGTTACAGGCAATCTCTTTGGCCTAAAATTGAAAAAGCTGTTCACTTGAACATGAAGAAAGTAATATGAACTTGATTAAAGACAACGAGGCGTGGAAAAGAAATAAATCTTTCTCCCCTTAAGAAACAAGTAAACCCAGGACTCTTACTTATTCTAACAGGACCAACATGGCTCAAGCCATTTACTTCGTATTTCCAAAGTTAAACAACTCCTTCCTGAGTTCAGAATCAGAAGAAAATATATAACT